ACAAAATTTGATTAACTACTAGAGAACGCCTCAGGAATGAATCAGGAGCAAATGGGGAGTTAACCAGTACTTACTGGTAAACACACAGCTAAGCCTTGGTAGGGGACTACTGCTTAGTTACTTGGGAAATGAAAAATGACTAATCAGGAACTAATGGGTAATTAACATGGAAACCAAAGAGGAATGAATCAGGAGCTAATGGGTAGTTAAGCAGTACTTACTGGGGAACTCACAGTCAAGCCTTATTAGGAGACTACTGGTTAGTTACCTTGTAAACAAAGATGAACTAATCAAGAACTAATGGGTAGTTACTAAAGAAAATAAAGCGGAATGAATCAGGATCTAATGGGTAATAAAATCAGTAATCACTAAGAAACAGCTTTTTGACAAGGATAAGCTGTGACCTCACTGGTGCAGGGTTTATTCAGAACCCACATGGGTAATTTCTCCACTGTTTCTGTGGTAACTAACCAGTAGTCCCCGAATAAGGCTTGGCTGTGTGTTCCCCAGTAAGTACTGCTTATCTACCCATTAGCTCCTGATTTGTTCCTCTTTGGTTTTCTTGGTAACTACCCATTAGTTCTTGATTAGTTCCTCTTCACTTACAAGGTAACTAACCAGTAGTCCCCTAATAAGGCTTGGCTGTGTTTTCCACATTAAGTACTGGTTAACTACCCATTAGCTCCTGATTTGTTCATTAGGCTTTCCCTAGTAGTTAAGCAAATTTCGTGTATGCTATTGTAAAGTGTTACCATAATAATAATAAATAGTGTATGATATTTCACATAAAGTTATTTCCAAGGTTTGACCAAAATGTCTATAACTTCATCATTTCTTCCCTTAAGATGATTTTAGTCTAAAACTGGTGTAAAAGGCTGCAGATGATATGCATTTCTTTAAGGAGTTTTTCACTTAAACTTTTCTCGAGCTAAGTTTTTTTCTTTTGTTTCAGACAGAATTGTATATATTTATATACATTTTTATATCTTCTGCTATTTTTATAATATTGTTCTATAATGTTATATAACGTGTTCTTTTTCAAACGAACTCCTCATATGCAGGTACCCAGGCTTATGTTACGTCCTCTAGTTTACGCAGCTGTCCAACTGGTCAGTTTTCCTGCCTCCCACCGGGGGGCTGCATTGAGATACGCAAACGTTGTGATGGTATTCGTAACTGTCCCAGAGGAGAGGATGAAAATGGATGCCACCTCCATGACGTCACGACACATTCAGATAGGTGAAATTTTCGATGCTCTTTTTTTTTTTTTTACATCAAAAGCAGGAATAGTACCATTTACCTGTTGCTTTGTTTCTTGTATAGGGCATACACACATACCCCTTCTCCTCTGAAGACTCCTTCTATGGCAGCTGTTACTCACGCAGCAGTAACACCAACAGTAAGGATATTTTATAAAACATCTGTTTGGAACTCATAATACTTTTCTTCCGGATCTAACAAATTTGTCAAAAACTGTTCTAAAATCAAATTATGTTTAAGATTATATTATACATCATAAAAATATATTTATTGGTGAAGTAGATACTGAATTTCCTTTTTTTTTTAATGTATTTGTTCAGAGTTTTAGAAAATTGTATTACTTTATTGTTAAATTCAAGCAAATGACTGAAGAGAATGTAAAAAAAAAAAAATTGTAGAGATCATTGAAGCTGTGGACCAGGAAGTGGGAAAGATTAGTAAGGGTGAAGTCCGGAAAGCTCTAAAAATAATGAAGACAGTAGGACCTGATGACATACAGTGGAGGTTTGGAAATGTCTTGGAGACATGGCAGTGAGGTTTTTGTCTCAAATATTCAATGGCATATTTGAGGGTGAGAAAATGCCTGAGGGATGGAGGAGACGTGTGCTGGTGCCCATTTTTAAGAACAAGGGTGATGTTCAGAGTTTGAGTAACTACAAGGGAATTAAGCTGATGAGTCACATGATGAAGTTCTGGGAGAGAGTTGTGGTAGACTTAGGCGGGTAGTACATGGAGGTAGTTGGAGTGAGGACAGAGTGAGGTGGAGAAGGATGACTCGTTGTGGCAAACCCTGAAGAGGGAAAAACCGGAAGAAGAAGAAGAATGTTGAAAATTTCTAAGAACATTTTAGTAAAACAACAAATTTGTGCATGTTAGTTTTTTTTTTCAACTGTTTTGAAAAATAAACAACAAGATCTATCAAAAATCTGTCCAGATGACCAGACTTAACCTTGTTAGATGTTTCTACCTGGATTATTGAGCATGCATCAGGGCACAAGAGCTAAAAGTTTCAAGTAACAGTATAGTATATGATTATTGTTGTTACTATATGTTCTAACCTGATATATTGCATTCACAGCATGGTGGCCCTGGCTATTATGGTATGTTTAAATTACGTATTTATTTAAACTTTTTAATCAATTTTCTAAGTAGATTTGACAAGTAACATGCTGCCATTGAAAATAAAAGTGTTTTTCTTTTACTGACGTTCAACAGGTATAAATGTATGTGTTTAGAAGTTTAGACTAAATTATGTGGTAACCCTTCAAATTTGCAGGCATTTGCTCGTCTCCACTTGGACTGGAGGATGGGAGAATTCATTATAGTCAATTATCTTCCTCCTCACATAGAGAGAACAACCCTGCTGATGCTGGAAGACTAAATATTATTCCTAACATGTGAGTGATTAAATTGTTTTGCATCTGTGGTGGACAGTTTCCTCAAGCCCTTCTTCCTTGTTCCATTTCTCTTATTTTCTCTTTTATCCATTATAATTCTCACATTCTTAATCAATGTCAAAGTCAAATTAACGTAATCAATGTAAAAATGCTTGCTTGAATAGGGTTTTCTCATTTGGGCATATTATCTTGTTTAAAGTGACAAATATTGAGAGCACACATAATAAACACATACCCTGTTTCATTCATGCAGTAAGGTTATGGAACCTGGTTGGAGCCCTTTGCCTGCAGATCCCCAGCCGTATCTTCAGGTGGATTTCCGGGAGCCCAAATGGATATCAGGAGTGGTGACACAAGGAAATGAGCACATGTGGGGTTATCTCACTAAATATCACGTGGCATTTTCCCTTCAAAGTGACATCTTTACAGATTTTACAGAAAATGGAAAGCCTGAAGGCCCTGCTAAGGTTTTTGCAATCCTAGATTGTAAAGTTTGTGGCAAATGGAAGTTATTTTAATGTTAATAAAAAATTAAATAAAATGTTTGGTTGTCTTTTAGGTGTTTGAAGTTCAAATGGTGGGCAGCATCCCTGTGACTCGCTGGCTGGGTTGGCTTATCCGAGCTCGCTACGTACGCATCATCCCTGTGGAGTTCAAGCACACCTTTTACCTACGTGTGGAGATTCTTGGCTGTAGAGGAGGTGAGGCATTAAAGCAACCCATGATGACCAAAACCATAAGATTGTAAGGCAAGTTAGCTCATATTCAATATTGCCTCATTCATCCATCTTCTCCATGTTACCTGAGACTGGGTCATTGTAGTAGCATCATAAACTAAGAACACCAGACTTGCCTCTTCACATCTACCTCCCTCAGCTCTTCCTGAAGGACTCCAAGGTGTTTCTCCCAGTGGGATTTGTTTGAAATATCTCCCTCAGAAGGTGTACTTTCAGTCTGTAGATACAGCGATGCTATTCAATATTCCTTCCAAAAACTCAAATTCCTCACCCTGTCCCCAATACTTGGTCCAAGCACTACAGAAGAAGCTCATTTCAGCTGTTTGTATCCACACATATTATTTAAGTCATTGCCCATAGCTTATTATGACCATAGATCGACTGCCTTTTGCATCATCTCACTCGTTACCATCCAAGATTGGAAAGCTGTCCACATCATTGCAGGTGCTATGCAAATCTACCCATTAATTTCCTGCTCTGTTCTGCCTACATTCCTGAACCAGGTCCTGGGGTTATTGAACTCCTCCACTTGGGGAAGTGGCACATGGCAATGCCTTGACTGATTATGACTTCAGACTTGGAGGAGCTGATTTTCACCCCAGCTGCTTCACTTTCAGCTGCAGTTACAATGGCTGCTGGAGCTTGATGAGACCAGCACGACCATACAATCTGCAAACAGCAGAGATGCAATTCAAAACTCACCTAACAGGAGGAACCTAAGCTCCTTGACTGCACCTAGAAATTATATATAAAGTTATGAATTAAATCAGTGGCAAAATGCAATCAACACCTGAATGTTGTCCTGGAAACAAATCTCACATTGCATGTAAACAGTCAGTGTAGGCTCTGTTTTTGTAATAATTGGCTGTACAATCCATTTTAACATTTCTTTTTTCTTTTTATGTGGAGATGAGCTAGTGACACCCGGCAGTGTGACTTCTCCCTCAGGATTTGGAACAGTTAGTGAGCAGCGCTGCAATGCAGGCCAGTTTTTGTGTGAACACACTAAGGAGTGCATCCCCATGTCTGTTCTTTGTGATGGTCGACCAAACTGCAAAGACCATTCTGATGAGCTCAACTGTGGTAAGACCTATGGTAGAAGCACATCTTTGTCACAGCACCCCACAAATGACTTCGCTATCCCATTATTTATCCTCTTCAGGTACTTCTCCAACCAGAAGTTTTCCAGGACTTCACAATCAAACCATCTACACAGGGAAAACTGTTTTCCATGTTGACAATGTAACAACAGGTGGCCCTGGCATACATACTATGAGTATGCAAAGCGGATTTCCGGGGGTGGCAACGGCAGGTGTCACAGAACCAACTCCATTTCAGAAAATGAGAACCACAACTTCTGGTTTGTGTGCTCTGCAAATTTGCTCTTATTTTTGTGGTTATCAATTCAGAGTCCATGAGTAAAAATCTTCATGATAGAGCACGATCAATAAGAAAGTTGCAGGCTTGAATCTTGTTTGTAGCCTCTGCACAAACTTAGCATGTTCTCCATTATCTATAAGTGTGCTTTATCCATGTTCTTCTCTTTCCTCACAAAGTCCAAAATCATGCAAATTAAGGTCATTAATAATTCCAAATTGACCCTGAGTGAACATGTGTGAGCATTCATGGTTGTGTGTCTCAATGTGTGCCCTATGATGGGCTTGCATCCTTTTCAGGTTGTACTTGATCATTTGCTCATTGACTGCTGAAGTTGGTGCCATTCATTGTGATCTTGAACAGAATGAAGCAGGGATAGAACATGTATGGACAAAAATAAATCCCACCTGATTTTATATTTAAACACCTTAAGATTTGTGTGTTTGTTCTATATGGTCAGATCAGTTTTATACCCCCATCTGCTCACCCAGGATGCACAACAGGTCAACGTGGGTTACATTTTACCACTGCAAACTGGTAGATCTGGGGCATCATGTACAAAGATGTGGAGTTTCTACTGAAACTTGGCATACACGTAAATCAAGAAAACAGCGTACGCCTGTCACTTGAACCCCTAACTAGTAATAATACATAAATAAGTGAAAATCTGCAAAGTAGCAATGTTACATTTATTTTAGTATTTTTATATATTTTAAGGCTTTAGAAACCATTGCCACCCTCTTGCAATGTTCTAAACTCAAACCTACATCGTTTTAACAGCATACATAAAGTAATTTTTATTTATTACCAAATTTTACTTACCAGATCTGCAGAACAGCAACAGCTCTTGGTTCTGGTCCAGCTCTGTTCATTTCTGCAGACCTACCCTGCAGCGACAAATATCACCATTAATGTTCTTAACTCTTAAACCTACTAGTTTTAACAACATACTTATATATATAGCTACTAAATTTTACTTACCGGTACAGTACTAGCTCTGCAGAACAGCAACACGAGCTAGTAAGTGAAATATCTCGGTTCTGGTCCAACTCACTTGGTTTCTGCAGGCCTACCCTGCAGCGATGAAGCCCACAATCAATGGTGTTAACTCTTAAACCTACTAAATTTAATAACATGCTTATACGTAGCTACAAAATTTTACTTACCAGCACGTCCCCGCTTGGAGGTCTGCGTGGGCCGGTTGAAAGAGATGATAAAAGTCCCAGTAAGCTCCGGATGGAGCCCCGGACCTTCTGCGACGCACGTCCCCACTCGTAAGTCCTCGAGGGCCAGCTAGGAGCTCTCAGGTTCACCATTGTGTCTGGGGGTCCAGTTCTGGTCTGGTTCAATGCAGCCCTTGTACGCCAAAGCACATTTGTGGGCAGACCATTGGTTGGCTGGCGCGGGATCGTAGGTGTCGATTGAGTCCAAGTCTGAATGAAAAATTTTCAAATGTGGGCTCAGTGCCTCCACGCTCAGAAGTCCTCATGTGCTAGCTACCAGCTCTCAAGATTCACAGATGGGTCTGGAGGTCTGGTTCTGCTCCGGTTCTTCTCCGGTTCTGCTCTGGTTCTGTGGGTTCTGTGTGGCTATCTGCATCCGTTGAATACTGAAGTCACTGTAATAAGCTCCAAACATTTTCCGATCAGATCAAAACATATTCTCTAGTATTTCAGCAGAAGGAAATTGGGCTATTGGGTGGAATCCTGTTGGCTTCTGGGAAATGTAGTTGGTATGAGTGGGGATACAGTGTAGGATTATATATATATATATATATATATATATATTTTTTTTTTTTTTTTTTTACAGTGTAGGCTTGTAGAGTGACAACTACAAAATGGCGGCACCTGTCCAAAGTTTTGTTTCTTGTTAACTTTTTACTGTACAGCACTGTATCCAGTACTGTCCCAATCATGTGGGCAATATTAAAGTTGACAATCATGTGTTGTGTACATTTTTTTGGTACAGTACAATATTATGTACTGTACATTCACAAACCACAATATAGCGAGTCCGCAGAAGTCGAAATGCGAAGTAGCAAGGGACTACTATATTAACAGTTTCCCAGTGTCAACAATGGATCAATAACCACAGAAACGTGCGTACACCAGCTATGAAGTTGGCGTGGGGCTGCACACATTTCCAGTCATTTCATTCTTGATACATCTGGTTTCACGTGAAAAAGGGCATTTGCCACATTTTTGTTCATGTGCACCCTTTGTATATGAGGTACCTGGTCTTCAAACCACAGAAAATAAATGTCAAAAAGACGATAAAATCTTACTTAACAGAAAAGGTTAAATATAATTGTTTTGTTTTGTTAATTCATAGCTCGTTCATTCATTATTATCACCCATGAAGTTTGCTTACCTAGAATGCTTTGGTTTTTATGGCCAATTCACATGATGGTCTTTTGGCTCTGTACACTCTGTACAAAAGTGTGATGAGAGAAAGACCTATTTGAATACCATACCATGCCATTTTATTTATAAAGCACTTTAAACAGTGACAGGGCCAACCAAAGTGTTGTACAAACAGAAATAAACAGGCAGAGCACACAGCAACATATAACATCACGTAAAATCAAAATATAGAAACGAAATAATAGCAGATAATAACATAATGACTAACACGGTGTGACGCATACAGGTTTAACACAGATCATACAGTTTGAAAGCCAGGGAATAGTAGTGGGTTTTTAAGTGGGATTTAAAACCTGTGAGGGAGGGGGCCTGCCAGACAAGCAGAGGTAACTCATTCCATAGTCTTTATAAATAAAATGATATGGTATATAGTATATTGAAAAGTTCAACAGAATGGTTCAAGTAGGACATTATTTACCTTTATGGTTGTTAGATTATTTTTTATTGGCTGGAGATTTCTAGATGTGCACTAAATAAAGTTCTGTTACCCTGCTCCTTCAGGCACCATAACCAGGCCAACGGTAACTCCACTACCACCACCAACTCCCGGACCCTGCTCTTCTAAACAGTTTCACTGTGACAGTGGGGAGTGCATTCACAAGGATCGTAAATGTGACCTGGGATGGGACTGTTTAGATGGTTCTGATGAAAAAGATTGTGGTAGGTGAAACTCCAATAGTGATATAATTGATAACGATTTTGTTTTTATAAAGTACCAATTCATAAACAACAACAAAAAAAGAAAAATAAATACACAAGAGAAAAAAACTAAACAATAAACAAGGCCAAAGCATTGATCCAAGACAGTCCTAAGTAGAATGAAATCCAAATACAGGCAGTTCATCCCAATTACAAGACAGTTAATTCACATGATAAAATGGAGTTGAATAACATAAATTGTTCAGGGGAAAACAGCAGACTGCATTAAATCTTCACTTGATCTAAATCAGACATTCTGAGAAGGCATCATGTTCCTGCGGTTTTTGTATTTGTTTTTACTGTTTGAATTGATTTGTTGTGCATCCAGCCATAATTAGGGGTCCACGTCAACAGAGGCAAAAGAGCACAGATTTCCATGCATGACGCGGAGCATAGAACCCTATTGAAATTGTTCTGTTTCAGTTGTTTTTCTTTACTAAATAAAAGTCATACTGAAGCCAACACAAGAAATAGGATTAAATACACTTTTTAATTACTTAATACACCATAAATACACAAATGATACACAAAGTGGATAGAGTGCTGGGAACATGTGCTGTGGTCGTCACACTTAAAGTGGCTCAGACCCTGGTAATAACTGCTTGCTGTTTTGTTACTTGATTCTTTAGATGATCTAAGTGTCAGTCTACTTATTTATCTCCCTTTCTCAAGGATTACTGTTACACTTAGTCACCAATATGACCTTTATGGTGCACTTCATCTGCTCGTGTAGCTCACCTGCTCCTCACTTCAGCATCACCCCTCCCAACATACATATACGGTGCTCCTCGGTCCTGCAGTCATTGTTCCATCATACTGTTTTTTTTTGTTTCACATTCCGACTTTTGGCTTCTGTTTTCCAGTGGGTTATGTTTTTGACATCTGCCCTCAAAGTTTTCCGTTATAGAGTTGTGGAAAAAAGAGATTCTTGTAACAGACCAAGGTGTGTTTCATGAAATTTATTTTCAAAGCTTTGAAGAGCAGTTCAGATTCACAGAACATACAAAATACAAGATTACACTGTTATCAGTGCTCACATCCACATGAAAACCCTGACCTGCTCTAATTCTCTGGACCGGACAAGGTAGTTTTATAGAAAAATCTCCCAGCCCAGGCCTCAGCTCCTCCCCTCCATGCCTGAGAGCCATCATTGAAAGGTCCGCTTAGAGACAGGAAGGAGTGGGTCTGAGTCAAGGACTGCCTGAGACACGTCACCATATCATATCAACTCTATCATATCAATGTACCAGTTCTTTCTGCTCCTCACTGATTTGTCACAGGATGATTACATGGGACTGTTAATATTACACATCACAACATGAGCAGAAGGATGTTACAGAACATTCCCACAGGAGAGGTATTGATCATGTTGAGTGCAAATACACATTACACTACAATAGTCTTTAGTTGCATCGTCAACATTTTGCTCAAGTTTATTAAAGATTTTATTTTCTTAGTGGATGCTTTTACCACACCTCTCGATGGAGACAGTGGAAAGAAACCATTTATTTTTAACGTGCAGCATCCTCCTTCAGAACTGGGCTCAAGATGGATGGCCATCTGGGTTGACCCACAGGAGTTAGACGGGACAGGAAAGAAACATAAACACATTAGCAACTGGCATGGGTAGTTTTCATGGGAAAAGGGACTAATTTCTGGTATAATATCAAATATAAACAAATGAGAGAAATTCAATTCAAAAGTAAAAGCAACTTATTAAAAAGATGTGGTCAGTTTATCCTCCTGCCTGTAGCAGCATCACTAAGGGGTAGCTCAGGAAACCTAATCCAACCCTAACTGTTGGATTATGAAAAAGACTAGTCTTAAACCTGGTCTTAAAAATAGATAAAGTGGTCAGCTTCATGAACAAAAACAATAGTAGCTGGGTAACTGAAATTGCTACATCCATTTCAACATTTGGAAACTCAAGGATATCATAAATAAACTCGATCATAAATAAATCTGCAGTCTGACAGTGAACTGCTCTGTTTCGAAAGTATGGAGCAAGAAGATGTTTAATAAAAGATCGTGCTTGGTTGTTGAAAGCTTTGTATATTAAAATGATTTTTTTAAATTATATTCTGAATTTGACAGGGAGCTATATATTTTTAAACCTGTATTTTTCAATTCAGTGGACTGCATATTGTCCCCGTGGACAGCCTGGAGTGCCTGCAGCATGACATGCGGTCTTGGTTCCATGTTTCGACAGAGGGATATATTAAGGCATGCTCTGCCTGGAGGATTCTGCAATGGAGCTCAGTTTGACAGTCAAGCCTGTTTTCCTCGAGCATGCCCAGGTCTGTGTTTCAAACTTCTTTCCATCACCCTTTCTGCGAGAACCTTTTAGACAGACATTGTACATGAAGTACAGCTAAGCTGACCTACATTATGTTCCTAAACTTTCTTACAGTTCATGGTTATTGGTCAAAGTGGACAGAGTGGTCAGAATGTGACACTTTGTGTGGCGGAGGAGTCAGACAGAGGAACCGAACTTGTTCTGCACCCCCTCCTAAAAATGGTGGACGAGACTGTGAGGGCATGTCCCAGCAGAGACAGAGCTGTAACAGCCAGCCCTGCACCACGGACACTGGAACACAAACAGGTGAGTGTGTCAGACACCTGCTCTGGATGTTTAATCTTTTTAGAATTATTTTATCTAAAAACTTTATTTGAACTTTTCCCGTTTGATCATTCAGTTTCTCTTAAATTCAATCTGTAAACGGTTTACTGTAAACTAATTCATTCTTCAAATTAAGTACTAATTAACTTATGGACAGGTTGTGTCGGCGGCATGGTGCTGGTGACAAAGGAAGATTGTCAAGCTGGAAGAGTTGATCCTTGTTCTTCTACCTGTTCAGAACTCAGCATGACCAACAACTGCACTTCAACGTGCATAGAGGGTAGGTCTCAAAATGTGTGTGAAATTGTTGCTGCCTTTGTTGAAGAATACACAAGGTTGTGTTTCCTAAATGCAGTAACCAAAGGAAAAAAAAAAAAGACTTGACTCAACAAAACTTTTTATTTACATCATTGGGTGGGTGGGGGGAGGGGGGGAGGATAATCCACCAATGACAAAATTCATTACCAAAAAAAAAAAAAATGAAAGAAAGAAAAACTCATTAAATAATTCAAATTTATATACTTTTATACAGTAAAAATATCTTGCATAACACCCAATAACACATTACAGATTACCGATACATTAAATACAAAAATAAAATGAAAAGAACATCCTCCCTCAAAGAACATAAAGTCTGCTTGATGCCCCAGAGGTCTTTAAATGAGATAAGGTTGCTGGTCAAGGTGTACTTCTACTACTACTTTCTGGATTTGCCTCTCTGACCTCATTACCGACTACCCCTTCTGTCTCAATGACTATGCTTCACGGATTATAATATGGATTTGGACCTGGATCTCTGAACCCCTTTGTATGACCCCTGCCTATGCATTTGGACCTTGCTTTTGGATTACCCTTTTGACCACGCTGCCCTCAGCTCTGCCCTGCTGCTGTGTTTCATCCAGTGACAGTGACACCATCATCCCCAACTCCTTCGGGTGGCCCTCACTTCTCATGACTGAAAAGGTTAGTGACTGCCTTCCTGTCCATCTTACCACTCACATAAATATTCAGTTCACTAACCATCATATTTCTGCGGATTGGTCCTGCCACTGGATTTTGACTTTCACCAGCAGCTGCTTTTCAATAAACTTTTTACCATTCTTATCTGGCATTGTGTAAAACCATATTCGTGTCATGGTCAGGAACTTTTTCTTGTGTACCATATATTTAGGATAAAAAATAAAGAAGTAAATAAAACTCTTATCCAAGAGCTACCACCCACTCCTCTAAAAGTCGTAATGGACCTTCTAACCTTTGACAGGACAGGACAAGATGTTCTCAAGTGTCGGCCTGGTAACAAGGGCACTCCTCTCCAGTGCTTGAGTCAAAATGAGGTCTCTGTCTGTTCGTAGGTATGAGTCCATGTATTATCCTCCATTGAAGGTCAGCTGCCCGTTGTTCAACCGGGTGCTTACATAGGGTCCTTGCCTTTAGAGGTGCAGTATGAAGCAAAAACCTGAGTCCACCTCAACTCCCTACTTCCAGTCAGGACCAAGTTTGTTGAAACCAGCATTAATAAACTTGGTCATCTGGTGAAGACCCCTGTGGACAGGCTTGGAAACAGTAAACATTAAGTCTTCTAGAGTGCTGAGGGAACTTATGGAAGAAGTTAAGCAATTCTTATCTGCACCATTTAAAGCTTTTGTTGGAAACTGGTCATACTGGCCAATGGGCTGATGACGTTGATTGTTTTTTTTCTTCAATGACAGCAAGTCTTGATATTGAATGACTGTAGGAAGGAAGGGTGGAAACACCAAAGATGGGCGTTTTTAATTTGTGTGGAAAAAAGCAGCTCCACCTCAGCTGTGTGAAAGCACTGAATTTGCATTCTTTGGCTGTAGTTAAGGAAAGTGTGGACCCACTAATGTCAGTCAAGTCAGATTTATTTATAGAGCACATTTAAAACAGAAACTGTTACCAAAGTGCTTAACAAAAATATCACAACATCAAATAAAAAGTAACAAGATATATTTACAGCACATGGAATAAAAATATAAAACCAAAAATATAATTAGAAACAATGAAATACTAAATCCGATCTGGTGACCTTGTGTTAAATAGGAATAATAACAAAAGCATAAACAGAATCCGCATCTATGAAAACTAGATCTAAATCCGATCACCCTGTGTTAAATGTCAGTGAGTATAGGTGTGTTTTTAGGAGAGCTTTAAAAGCAGAGACTGAGTTGGCCTGTTGAATGTTGATGGGCAGATTGGTCCAGATCTTAGGGCCCACGACTGTTTGATCTCCTATGAGCTTCAGCCTGGTTTTTGGTACAGCCAAAATCATCTGGTCTGATGATCTCAAAGCCCGAGAAGGAGTATAAGGATGAAGAAGGTCAGAGAGGTATGAGGGTGCAAGGCCGTTAATGCACTTAAATGTCAGCAGGATAATTTAAAAATTGATTCTGACATGTACAGGAAGCCAGTGAAGGGAGGACAGAACCGGAGTAATGTGCTCAAACCTAAGAGTTCCTGTTAGTAGCCGAGCTGCCGCACTTTGTACGAGCTGGAGATGTAAAATTGAAGCCTGACTAATCCCAACATAAAGTGAGTTACAGTAGTCCAGCCAGGTTGTAATAAATGCATGGGCTAGTTTTTCAAGTTTGGATCTGGATAGAACGGACTTAAGCTTTGCTATCTGCCTTAACTGGAAGAAGCTTTTTTGTAGAACAGAGTTGATCTGTTTATTAAACTTAAAGTCCGAGTCTAACACTACCCCGAGATTGCCGACTGCTTTAGATGTGGCTGAAGGGAGTGCAGGTTTATAGGATCAGTGACAGTGGTAGAGCTTGGGTTAAACACAATGACCTCAGTCTTCTGATCAGTAAAACTTAAGAAGTTCGCAGCCATCCAAGTCTTGATGTCATCAAGACATTTTAGGAAAGGGTGGATGGAGCAGGAACTGTTGGGTTTTAAATGCAGATAAATCTGAGAATCATCGGCGTAACAATGAAACGAAACACCATTTTTGCTCAGGATGGACCCCAAGTGGAACAGATACAATGAGAACAGAAGGGGTCCAAGAATGGAACCTTGCGGGACCCCACAGGAATTAGGGACAGAAGCAGATAAATTATTGCTAAAGTTAACACAAAAACTACTGTCACTCAGATATGAACAGAACCATTCTAGCGCCACCCCTATAATCCCAACCCAGTGTTCTAGCCGTGACATAAGGATGCTGTGATCAACAATGTCAAATGCAGCGGTAAGGTCGAGGAGTACCAGGGTCACAGACTGACCAGAGTCATTCGCTAGCAGAATGTCATTACAGACCTTTACTAAAGCTGTCTCAATGCTGTGCAGTTGTTTAAATCCTGACTGAAAAATCTCAAAAATTCCATTTACATTCAAAAACTTGGCTAGTTGACTAAAAACTATTTTCTCCAAGATTTTAGAAAGAAATGGAAGTTTTGAGATTGGCCTGAAGTTTGAACAAGCTTCAGGGTCTAGTCTGGGTTTTTTAATTAATGGAGTTACCACTGCATGTTTTAAAACATCAGGAACCACACCTGTAGCCAAACTGTTGTTAATAATGGCAAAAACAAAGGATCCAGTTGATGGTAGAACCTGTTTAAAAAATGCAGCAGGGATGGGATCAGCAGGGGAGCCTGAGGGTTTCATGTGACCAACGACATTTAAAAATGAGAGTGAGATGGGGTCAAAGTGACTGAAGACTGCTGAGCAGGGGACAAGAATTGAGGGGTCGGCTGTGGAGTGTGGAATTGATTACCTAATCGACTCAACCTTTTCAACAAAATGCCTGACAAATTTATTACAGGTGTCAACAGAGGCCTCAATGGTGGCAGACTTAGGCACTTTTAGAATGGTGTTAATGGTGCTGAAAAGAACGCGGGGTTGTGACTGTTTAAGTTGATAATTTTTTAGAAATATTTGTTTTTCTCCTGTTTAATGGTGGTCTGATATGCTTTCCAACATGATTTTAACATATCAAAGGAAACCTGGAGTTTATCTTTATTTCCAATGATGCTTAGCTCTCGCCTCTTGTGTGGTCTCATTTACCCAAGGGTGGGGCGTGCGTTTTTGATTCCTGAGCTTTAACGGGGCGACTGAGTCCAGGATATGTACACAGGCCTCCTGATGCTGAGAAAGCAACTCCTTTGTAGTAAGACCCGCAGAGAGTTCAGAGTCTGTAACAGAATTTCTAGCAAATATGGAAGAGAAGAGTGTGGCGGTGGAAGGGTTAAAATCCTACAGGGCTTGGGGGGGGGGGCGGTGCAGGTTCACAAATCAAAGAGGTGTTGAATAAAACTGGTTTGTGGTCGGAAAAAACAGTGTCACCAATTTCCAAATCAGAAACAGACAAACCATGCGTTAAAACTAAGTCAAGAGAGTGGCCCTGCTGGTGAGTTGGACCAAAAACACTGTGAACAAAGTTAAAGGACTGGATGAGATCTAGAAAGTCGCAAGCTAATGGTTTATCAGGGCAGCACACATAGATATTTAAATCTCCCAAAATCAAAACCCGATCGTATTGGAGCAGAATACCAGTTAGAAAGTCAGAGGGTTAATTTAAAAACTGTTTATGGCATCCGGGGGGTCTGTGAAAAAAAAGCACACAGAACTAGGTTGGAGCGGCCCAGCTCACAACAAAGCAGTTCAAAACTCGAATAATTGGCTGAACCATGGAGCTGTCTGCAGTGCAAATGTTTCTTAAAAACAGCCAAAAATCCTCCACCACGACCAGTTGTCCTTGGAGCATTGAAAAAAGAACAGTCCGGAGGCAGTAATTCCAGAAAAACACTGAACTCACCAGGGCAGATCCAAGTCTCAGTGATGAAAAGAAAGTCAGTCCAGTTGGTTGCAGCAGAAAAAGTCATTCAAAATAAAAGTTTTCTTAGCCAATTATCTGGCATTTATCAGGGCCATCCTCGTAGAATCCACCACAGGAGGAGATGATTGCAGTGTCCAGTCCAGTGGTCTCAGATTTGCAGAGTTGGACACACGCCTCCGGCAGGAAACACAGCCGCGCACAGGCCCATTGTGATGATGAGAGCCCGACAGCGGGACCAGACAGCACGCCAGAGGATCTGCACAGCGCCAGGATCGGAGGTGGAAACGTTGACCATCAGCTGGAGAGGATGATTCAGAGGCAGTAAACAGGGCTTTAAGCTTCACCAGCCGGCCAGCGCATTTTCCACAGCGTCTGGAGCGATGTCACCGGGGAGGCAGGTGCGCAGCTCGCTGCAGGTAAACAGGCACGTCTGCCAGCAGCAGGCGGGGGGGGGGGGGGGGGGGGGGGGGGTCCAGAGTTATGCTCATATTGATCAAAATAAGCGACGTTAGTGGCACAAAGTTGAAGATCCAAAAGTTGTTGTCGTTCATACACCAGCAGGGAGTTGATGTCACAGATGAGAAATGAAATAAACACCAATAATACGAACACCATCAGCAGAGGTGGATTGCAAGCCATGTACACAGGCACCATCTTACCGGAAGTGTTTAATGGCTTTGTTGTAAAACAAAGGCTCCTCAAAAAGCCACATTCCTAGTCTGGGGTCAGGGTTGTGAGTGACCTTCAGCATCTGCCAGGCAATGGGCACCGACCAGTAGAAGGATGAAAGTCCTGTTAAGTTCATTTGAGATGATTCCATTAAGAAAAGCTGTTTATCTAGCCCAAGTCAACCAGCCTTTCTCAGCTGCTGAGCCAGACCTGGCTCAGCGTTAACAGTAGCCATACAAGAGTCTCTGTGCTGTTTGTAAACTGAAGGATGTGGTTCTGAAGAGAATATACACACGTCTTTGTCTTCCCTCCCCCACTGGGAGGTGCAAAATTGGTGCCCTCAGCCAATGATGATCAAACCAGAAAAAAAATCACTAGGAGCTTTTGTATTCTTTTCACAAGATTTGGAGGTGGAACCAATACAGCAAGTTTGTGCCATAAAGTTGAGGCAATCAGATTACTGGCTACTAGAACTCTTCCCCTTTAGAACAGCTGGGGTAGCAACTGTTTCCATTTAGAGAACTTGGCTTCCACCTTCTCCAATACTCCCTCCCAGTTCTGTTTTCGATAATCTTTAGTTCCCAGATAAAGCACAATTACTTTTATACCTCTCCTCTCCCAGCTCAGACTGCCAAGAAGGTTGGGAATCCCTCCCAGTTCCCATTTACCTACCAAACATCCATTCATTTTCCACCAGTTTACCTTGACTGAAGAGGCCTTCTCATTTAGAGTAAGAAACTCTCTTAACTCCTATATTTCTCTCTGAACCTGGACAAATACGTACATTGATATTATCAGCATATGCTGACACCCCAATAGGAAAAGCTAAGGTCAGTTTTTTAAAAAGAAAACCCCTTCACTCTACTCCTCAGTCTATTCAAATGAGGTTCAATGACTAGACTGTAAAGCTGGCCTGAAATAGGAGAGCACTGCCTGATTCCTCTTTTTACTGGCACCGGAGAGCTCAAATTTCCCTCTACCTTCACAGTGCAGCACACCTTGCTGTACAAGAGCTTTCTCCATGTCAACAACCTTTCTCCAACACTGAGAATTATTGGATTTGATACCTGGATGATTGAGCATGAACTTTGTTGCTTTTTCCAACACCAAAAGCTTGCAAAGTTGAAAAAAGAAAACAGTGATGTACATGATCAAATGCTTTTGCCAGGTGCCAATTTTACCATCATTCAATGTACACTCATCAAACACATTTCATTTAAAATAAGTTGTCTAGGACGCTGTCACCGCTTTTACACAGATGAACCAGAATGATAAGACTTTTACTGTTTCTGTATTGGTGTGCAGCTGAAACACTGGATGTAAAGCGGCCCTCTCACCTGCATGCACAAAGACCATAGTTATTTTTTCAAACATTTTCACTGCCGCATCTTTATGTTGGGAAATTATTCTGGCTTCCTACTCTGAGCCATTAGCCTCCTATTCAAAAAGTTATTGTGAAGGCTGAGCTTCTAATAGCAAGGGTCTCCCAGTTCCTCAAAGTGTGATAGCACTCTCCACCAGGAGTGAAGTGATGTCCGAAGCCCTATTTATAGGGGTCTCTGTGAGTAACATCTGTGCTGTAGCCAGCTGATATTCACAGCAAACGTTTGTTTGGTTTTATCATTGGAATGTGACAGCTCCTTCTGTGCTTGTGGTCTTTCTGTCTAGACTAACGTACTGCACTAGCATTCTGTATTTGACACAGCTTTGAATGGCTGCTCCGTGGGACAATTATAATTGTTCCATTCTTTATATGCTGTGCAGAATAAATAGACTGAAAGGAACACAATGTTGTGCTGTTCCCTGAAAGAGAGGAGCAAGGTACAATGTATGGCTACACAGATGAGCTCACTGAAGATGTGCTATCAAACTGAGGAATGACGATGATGATGGATGAATGTATAGTGCAGGCAGGTTCTGTTATTTGCGATAATTTTATTTGCCGAAAGTCATGTTTACAGGTGTCTTCAGCCAGAACATGCATAGGCTTGATTTCCCATACTTCATATGTTGTCCCTCATTCTTCTCCTTCAGGGAACATTAGATATACATGGCATTACATTTTTTCCACAGGTTGTCGCTGTCCTTATGGGTTGTACCTTCAGGAGGGCCAATGTGTGAATTCTAGCCAATGTGTCTGTGATTGGTTTGGTGAGATACTTCATCCCGGACAAGTGATCAACAGAGATCAGTGTATTACATGGTGAGACACACACACACACACACACACACACATTTCCCTACATTTTAAGAGCTCATTTAGGAGTGTTTTTTTCTGAAAATAGTATGAATAAATAACATACTGTATTTTTTGTAGGGGTTCTTTGAACAAACTCAGTTTGTAAAAATAGAGTAAAGTCTTAGATGACATAAAGTCCATGCTCAATAATCCAGGTATACAATCCAACAATTTTCAATCAGGTCATCTGGACAGTTTCTTTTTTTGCTAAAACGTTTCACCTTCCATCCGGAAGGCTTCATCAGTCAAGGAAACACACAACACAAAACTGATTATTCCCCCAAACGGCTTACTCCAAGGTGGAACAAACCAGTAATGTTGTTGCTAAGATGGTGTCTTTGGCACGCCCCCTCCTCTTGTGCCGGCCCTCTTCAAAAGAGAAACTGTCCAGATGACCTGACTGAAAATTGTTGGATTGTATAGATGGATTATTGCGCATGGATTTTTTTGGGTTTTGAACTAGTTTGACATGACTGTCGACAAGGAAGAGGGCCGGCACAAGAGAAGGGGGCGTGCCAAAGACACCATCTTAGCACCAACATAACTGGTTTGTTCCATTTTGGACTAAGCTGTTTGGGGGAAGAATCAGTTTTGTGTTGTTTCCTTGACTGATGAAGCCTTCCGGATGGAAGGTGAAACGTTTCAACAAAAAAAGAAACTGTCCAGATGACCTGACTGAAAATTGTT